TGACAGGTTTAAGAAACAGAAAATGAGAGAAGCTCAAGCAGAGGAGGAGGGTAGAGAGGTGGGTAGGGGCCTTTGACTGGGCAGGATTTAAATTTCATTGTAAGCGAGACAGGAAATTTCTTTTGGAGGGAGGGGAGGGGGAGATATGTAGACAAAGGAGGAACGTGATATGTTTTATGTTTTAAAAATCGAATCCTAGTTGCTGTGTGAAGAACATACAGGGAGATGAGGAGCAAAGGTATAAACCGGAAAACTAAGTAAGTTAGGAAGCTACTGTGGTTGGTGCGACTTCCTCATGGGTGGGCCGTAAGGTGTGAAGGAGTGAGATGTAGCAAAGAGGACGTCTGCTATTCCCGACAGACCTAATTTTGTGTCAAGGTCAGGCAGTCCTATCTGAGTTTGCAAGTGTTGCCACATGCAAAGTAATGGGGGGGGCGCAAAGAAACTATGTGCATTATTTCAGTTTATTTACAAGCCTCTCTGTCCAGGAGGCATAGGAGGCTCCAGGGCAGCAAAGATGAATTAGACGCAGTCCCTGTTCCTAAAATGCTCACAAACTAGCAGGAGAAGCAATACAGGTCAGTTGTGAGGATTAAACAAATGAATGTTTATAAAATGTTCACTACTTGTCAGGTACTATTTTAAGCACTACGTATGTATGTTAGATATTGTTAGTATTGTTGTTGTTATATTCATCATAAGCATCAATCTTGAAGAGATGGTGAACAGGACGCAGAGGGCCCAAGGCAGAAAGGTTGGTTCCGCATCTTCTTATATCCCTGCATTGCTCTCTGAGTAATTTCTCCCCATCCACCTTCCAGTTCTCTTCATCTGTGACAATTCTTTTTTTTCCCCAAATATACATAATCATTTTTATACTCTCTTGTTTCTTCTCTTTTAACTCCTTTGTATATTTAGACATTTCATGCATGGTTATTTTATATTCTGTACCTGATAAATCTAGTTTCTGAAATTCTTTGGGGGGCTAAATCTGTTGCTTTTGTTTCTCTTGATGCCTTAATTCATGGTGGCTTTTTTCCTTGTGGGTCTGGTAATCTTTGTCTTGGGAATTTTTTTATTGGTTACATTTAATCCCTGGAAAACCTGAAGATCCTGGTTTGGGGCCTCTCCTCTAGAAGAACCTGTAGTTATTCCAGCTAGGCACAAGGGGGCACTACCATCATGATAAATCAATTTCTGGAAACAAGGTGTCCGAGACCTGAAGGATAGTCTAGCAGCAGGTACCATGGTTCCTGGTTCACAGTGGGCTCATCTTATTCTTAATTTTTACCCCCACAGGAGAGGCAGGTTTCTTTGCAGGTTCTCTTTACTGGTGGGTGGAGGCTTTCTGGTCTACTCTTTCACTAAGGGGTAGCCCCTTCTAGGATCTTGACTTAATTTATGAGTTCTGCTCCCTGACTATGCCAAAGTCTAGTCTTCTGTGTGTTTCCTTAATTTTCAAGGTTGCAGTGTTAGCATTTGCCCCAACGGCAGCACAATTCCAACACATGCTTTACATTCATGTCCTTGTTTTGAAGGTGTCTTTGGGAAATTCCCTTACTTCTTGCAAAGTTAGCAATGGTTTCAAAGTCATGTTTGTTATAATAGATCTGGGATCAAGTTGCTTTATCATAGGGAGGGCTCTACGTAAAATCTAGAGCCCGGGGTGGTAGTGCATGCTTAACATGCACGAGGTCCTGGGTTCAATCCTCAGTACCTCCATTAAAACAGAAAAAATCTAGAGCACCAGCCTGCCAGTGGGGAAGTCGGGAAGACTAGTTTGTTTTCTTTCTTTCTTTCTTTCTTTCTTTCTTTCTTTCTTTCTTTCTTTCTTTCTTTCTTTCTTTCTTTCTTTCTTTCTTTCAACAACTATTTATTGAGTGCTTCTGTACGCCAGCTAGAGTTTTGATGAGCAAAAGAGCCAAGGTCTCTGCTTCATGGAGCCCATAGTTTAGAGAGACAATTATAATCAAAGAGTCACACAGATGAACGGATGTGATTACAGACTGGAAGGGGGAAATGACATGAAAGCACAAGCCAGTGGTTCTTGAACTGTGGCCGGCACCAGCAGCATCTGGGAATGTACTGAAATACAGGTTCTGAGACCTTTCCCAAACCTACTGAATGAGAAGCTGAAGTGGGGCCCAAGAATCTGTATTTTAGCAAGCCCTCCAGGTGATTCTAAATCACTGGCATAAGTCAAAGGAACCGGACCTAGACAGAGGGGCTAAGGAAAGTTTCACTAAGGAAGTGATGAACTGAGAGATAGGAGGCACACAGGCAGTGAGAATAACATGTGCAAATGTCCTGTGGGGTGTTGGGGGCTGATACATTTAAGGAACCAAGAGAGGTTCTAAGAGTGTCCAAGCACTTTGGAGGCTGTGGGAAGGAAACTGCCCTGATTCCTCAGAGCAGTGGGAAGCCATCGAGGGGAACAAGAGGAAGAAAGTGACCTGATCAGATTGCATTTGAAAAGTTGAGTTATTTGTCGGGATTCCGGACAGGACCACGGCTGTGATATTAGGATTGGAAAAGAGAGAGTAAGTCCTAGAAAACTTTAGAAGCAGGATTAACAGGTGCTGGGGACTCCTGCTGAAGTGGGAGCAAGAGAGAAGGGCTACTCTGAGACGGCTGGCCTCAGGGAGACTTGGGGATTCTTTGGGATTCTCAAGGATCCGTGATCAGGGACACTGGTGGTGTGGGCCTGGAGCTCAGGAAGGGGTCAGACCAGAGATACAAATTAAAAGTGACTCCTCCACCCCCCTACTCCCCCCAAAAAACCCCAAATGACAGAAATTTATTTACAACATTGTAAACTGACTATACTACAATTTTTTAAAATAATAAGCTAAAAAAAATAGAGTGAGTCCTCTTGGTTTAGTGAGTTTGGCAAAAGTGATTTAAGCCAGAATCATCCAAGGTGATGGCATTTCCCCCTTTACCTGCACATGTAGCTGGAGTGTCACTATACACATAAACTAGTCTCTTGCTATTTCTCTGACTGTGATCAGTGCTGTAAACATAGGTATGACATTTGACAACGCGAGTCCAATGAGACACTAGTTAACATGTCTGCCCAACTTATAAACCCTTTACATGTGACTCTCAGACACCATCCCCGTTTTTAACCTCAAAGCAGGTTCATCTATCTCTCCTAGTTCTTAGGGACTCCTTTTATCTAAATAAGTCTCAAATAATGACGACCTCTAATAACATCTGTTAATTCCCTAAGGAATTTAACATGCATTTTCTGAGACCCTGTGACATAAAAACATCTGGCTTTTTAAAATATCTTCAGCCATTTCCTGCCTGATCTTTGTTTTTCTTTCCACCCTCCTTTCCAAGAGGAGTGAGTTGTTTTCTCACTAACCACGCCGTGCTTAACCCTCACCTCACTGCAGCACCATACTCCCGGCCCAGCTAGCAGCCCTGGCTGTGGGCCAATGGAAGGAACCCTGAGCTGGGACTGCGGGGCCCGAGGGAGGCCTGCCTCTCTTTCTGGTTCTAATGTGGAGCAGGAAACAGAAACCCATGTGCAGCTGTGCAAAGGCAGGTTGACAGGCATAATTACTGCCCCCAAAAAGGATTTCATTAAAACAAAACCATAAACAGACTTTTTAATTTTATTCCCTTGTTAACTGGTGATATGGTGAGAAATGACAAACTACAGAGGACCACTCTGACCTCCTGCTCTTTCCTTGCCCTGTTTATTAGAACCGCCTCCTCTTTCACATGCACACTGTTTACTCCCTTTGAGCCAGCCACTGACTCCCCCAACCTCAGGGGTTCCAGTGACTGCTTCCTGACACTGCTGTGTCCTGCCTGAAAATCTCTGGCACTGTGGTGGCCCTGGACTTGCCACTGGGGCTCCCAGACTGACCAGTAGGAAGGGATCTCAGCAGAAACTGGGGCACAGAAATGGCAATGACTGTCTCAGACAGACTCTGCTTTTCCACACCAGGAACACAGGCTTCCTGAATCTGCAGGAGTGGAGGCCACAGAACTAGAAGTTCAAGTCACTGCCACCAGATTCACAACTTTCTGAGCTTGAACAGGCAGTGCATTTCTGCTATTAGAAGCATCCAGAACACAGTTCTTAAACTTTAGTGTGTATAAATGTCACAGGGAGAGCTTTGTACGACACAGATTCCTGGGCCCCACCCTCAGGGATTTTGATTCTGTCAGTCTAGGGGGAGGCCTGGGATCCTGCATTTTTGACCCCCTCCAGGAAGTACTAATGCTCCTGCTGCTCCACGGACCACGCTGGGGTCGCCCCTGACCTCGAAACATGCAGACCCTTACCTACAATGTTATTTTGGGTGAAAGCTAAAGAGATGTCAGAATGTCCAGCAGGTGGGCAGGTGGGCTGTGCTCCCAGAGTCCCTAGGTTCCAGACGCCTCCTGTATCCTCAGCGATGACCCCCAGGGCCACCATTTTCAGCCAACAGTGAGGAATCTTCTTTTAAGCAAGTGATGGACAATTTGCACACATCACTTCTGCTCACATTTCTCTAGCAAGAACCCAAGCGCAAGTCCCCATCGAGGGGAACATAGCCTTGCTCAGTGACCAAGGTGCCCTGCAGCCACGCTATGACGATGGAGGAGGGGAGAAGGATTTAGGGTACCACCTGCCATCTGTGGCACACCACCCAGTAAACAAGAGCTCCAAGGAGCACAGGGGGAATCTGGTACCATAGGTCGAGCTGAGGTGAGTGTGCACTTAGGTGACTCATGGGAGACTGTCACAAGCCCCAGGTACAGCAGGAGTGGCAGAGTAACTGGCTCTGGAGGCGGAGGCTCGGATGTGCCCAGACAAGCTGTGGGATACCAGCCGTGTGACCTGGGACGGGTTACATACTGTCCCTGAGCCAAGGCCACCTCCTCTGTAAACTGTGATAATACTGTGCTTGTTTCTGTAGGGAGCCCCAGAAAGTGGCAGGAATTCCAGGGATCAGGTCACCATGAGGGGACCCGGGTTGATCTCAGACCAAATCAGGACATTAGTGTATACAAATCTGCTTACTTTATTACCAATTAAGTGAACCCTTTCAGCCAGGTTTCAATTCCCACTTAGTGACTGAGATGGGTAAAGAAAACCAGTACCAGAGATGGGAGTGGGTGAGGCAGACACTGCTCCACTGGAGACCACCCGGGAGGGGCCAGGGCAGCAGACAGCTCAGGGAGGGGTGGCGGTCAGGACCAAGGAAGCAGGTGTGGAGGTCGGAGTCGGGGGCAGAGGTCTGGAGTGCGCTTCACTTGACGGGCACTTGTTGAGTTGCTTCAAGCATCAGGCTCAGTGCTGGGAAACAGTCAGAAGTACGACATGACCCCTGACCTCAAGGAGTGCCCAGTCTAACTGGGGAGCTGAGAAGCAAACACACAACCACGATTAAGCGCAGGCGAAGGCTATGATCAAGGCACACGGGAGAGCAGAGAGGTCTGCAAACCCCAAAGTCAGTTCCAGGCAGGCGGAGGCAGCAGAGGGAGGACTTCAGGAGACAGCACTCAGCCTGGGTCGGAGCGGGCTCAGCCTGCCGGGTGATGGAGTCACCCTGCAGGCCCTGCCCACTGTGGACCTCAAGCAGGACTGGGCTGCCGCTAGGGACCCAGGAAGAGGAAAGCTGGTGGGTAAGGAGGGCCTGGGAGGAGGGGAGTTTGGACTTTTTCCTGAAAGTGATGGGAGCTACTGAAGAAGATTCTGGATGAGAGGAGACTAAGGGCTACTCTCAAGTCCTGAGGGGAGAAGCTTGAAAGGAGGTGAGGTGGGGCGCAGGTGAGGATGTCATCACTGGAATCCAGGGAGGTGGTTAGCTCAGGCAGCCAAGTGGAGGCGCTGAGAGCTCTTACAGGGGTGGAGTCACAGGGGTGGGGATGGAATGTCACCAGCACCACTGGCTGTAAGTTTACTTCACAGACTCAGGAAGCAAAAGAATCAAGGTGTGTGTAACTGGGAGGCCAAGGCCAGCCTTAGATTCTGGGCAGAGTCCAGGACCCCTGGCCTACTGCTCCCCACGCTGTCTCCCCAGCCCTGTCTGTGAGTTGGAGGGGCCTTGGTAAAGAAAGTACAGCTTCTTGAATCAGCATCACAAGCTGGTGCTTTCAACTTGGCCTCCAGTCTGGGCAGTTAGTTGGGCGGTGGTCTCGCTGGGGGGCTGCCAGCTGGCCTGCCCAGGCTCATCCCCAGGAGTGGAGGAGGTACTCGTAGCTGAGGAAGGTGACAGCGTTGACCGGAAAGGCACGGGCACTGTTGATGGTGAGCCCTCGGAAGAAGACCCCCAGTCCTTCCTGCCGGACGCTGCTTACCACGCAGTCCAGCAGCCCCCGGTACGCCCTCTGCTCCAGCCCGGCCATCTGCATCCGGGACTTGATCACATCTAAGGGGGTGGCTGTGACCCAGGAGGTGATGCCAGCAAAACCCCCAGCCACCAGCACTGTGGCTGAGCCTGGGGTAGAGGAAGCCCAGGGCGGGAGTCACACTGAGGAACAAAGCAACCTTCCCCATCCATAGTCTCCCTCCCCTCCCTCCGAACACAGGCCAGCTCCCCTCCCCGACTCCTCTCGGTCCTCTACCGTCTCACGCCACTTCACTTACTGGGGTTCTGGCCATCTGGTGTGGATTGGCGACAGAGCCATTCGTAGGTGACAAAATAGATTCCCAGGGTGGGGGTGTCCCTCAGCGTCAGGGCCCAGGCTCCCCGGAACAGTCCCCGGGGACCCTCAGCCTGGAAGATGGAGGCTGCACAGTGCACGGGGCCCTGGTACCGGGGTGGGGGGCTCCCTGGCTGAGCCCTTGGTTCTGTCTGGTTTTGTAGCCGGACTTTGATGAGGTCAAAAGGGGCCAAGCAGTAGGCCTGTAGGGAAGGAAGCAGGAAGGACTCAGGTGGGGCTTCGGCAGGAACAGTCCCTTCCTCTCATTTTGACAGGAGGAGGTCAGGGGCAGGGAGGGCAGCGTCTTCCTTCAGGACCTTGCTGGCTCGCACTGCCAGCTCTCAGTCTCCTGCACTCGCAGTGGGAATGGGCCGGGGCCCCTCCCTTAGCATCAGGCCCCTGACAGCCAGCGGCACCGCCCCACCCTTCAGCTGAACTTAAGGGTACTCACATGGACACGTTGCCTTGAAGAAAGGATTCAGTCTGTGCCCACGAAACAGCAGAGAACTGACCCTCCCCAGGGTTAAGGAGGTCACCTCGATTGTGCTGGGGACTCAACTTTATAGATTCTCCCTCCCTCACCTCCTGCAGGACACCTCTCAGAGGCCCCTGGGTAGGGAAGTGCATCTTGCAAACCCCGAGTACTATTGTCCCAACAGAAGGTGGGTGACAGCGTGGGATCTGCGGGTCCTCGAACTCTTATCACTTGGCTGAGGCCAGGGGGACAGGGATTTGGGGTCATATTGGTGCTGGGAGATGTGGAGGGAGGTTGAGGGGAGGGGCTAGAGTGTGGGTCAGGGATGTAGCTAGGTCAAGATCAGCTATGAAAGTTCAGGTGAGAATTGAGGTCCAAACTGAGGTTGGCGTATAATTTATAGGCTTATGTTTTTTGTTTGTTTCGTTCTTTCATGGGAGGTACACAAGCTCAATTCCTCAGCCCTGGAGATGGCTGATGGCAGAAAAGTCTTGCGGCTGGCTCTGGCAATGATATTTAGAGGGTGACAGTTTGCTTACTTCCTCCCTTGCAGGAAGGCCAGGGGGCTGGGGTCCCTCCCTGTGAGATTTCACCCTAATGTCACCCTCCAGAGCAATGCTGAGCTGAGGGCTTATCCAGGGGGTGGGGTCCTAAGCCCTGGGCTCCTGGGGGTGTGGAAGTGGCTGGGCCAAAGGCAGGGGCAGGCAGGGGTGGGCTAGGGCCCCTCCCCTCCCCATCCTGTGCCCACAGGGCAGTGGAGACCTCAGACATTGCTGCTTAGTTTGACAGTGGCAGCCTTAGCCTAGTCAAAAGTAACTTTTGTGCACATCTGAGGTTGCCATTCCCTGCCCAGCGCTAACCAGGGTCACTCCCCACTTCTTCCTCCTCATCTCCACACTCAAATACATTTTCTACTCCAAGACCCGGTTAACCAGAGCCACGGGCGTGATGGCAAACCTGGGCTCCAGTTGGTCCCTGGACCCCATCCCCATTAGTGAGTAATCCCAGTTCTGCCATCTGTTCTGCTTTCCGAAGAGCTGGAGGGGAGAGGCTGAGGAGCTGGGCCTGGCTGAGTCTAAATCAGGCCACTTGGCCTGGGGGCTCATCCTCTTCTTTGTTTTTTGGGGGTGCATGTCTCAGGGCTTGGGAAACATGCAAGCATGAACCCCGCACAAGGGGTAGGAAAAAAGCTAGGACTTCGGGTCTCATGAATCATTAATTCACTCAGTTAACCCCTGACCCTGTCCCGTGTCCTCGCTCTCAGCCCTGGGAAGTGTTAGGAGCATCCGGGCAGGTGTCGAGTAGACGGTGACCTAAGGCCCTGGCTAGGGTGTGGGGAGGAACCGGGTGCACGCCCTCTGCCTCTATGCTCAGGCCTCCCACTTAGCCGAAGCTGGTCCTGCTGCCCGGAGGCCCCTCTTTCCTCCACTCCCTCCTCGAAAGCCTGGTACTTAAGTGCTGAGAACAAAGACCAAAACCCAATGATTAGAGTCACTTAATGATTAACACCCTGGACCTCTACCAGCAGTATCTGTGGATGGGCCCCTGGCCCTCTGGGTGACGCTTATAGATCGCAGCCACCAGGCAGAGGGGCTGAGCGGGGCAGGGCTGGGGGAGGGGACAGGAACATGGCAGGACGGGAGGGGCTGGACTGTGGGGACTGTCTGTTCTCCAGGGTGAAAGGTCATCTTGGAGAGAGGTCTTCCCACAGCTGGAGGCTGGCAGACCCCTCCAAAGGTGGGCAAGCCCTGTCGCCCCAGACTGGGGCACCGACAGCTTCTCCATGGTGTCCCCTTGGCACTGTCTCCCCCCCATCCCAGGTCTCCCTACCTTTTGCCCACTCTGTTCTCCATGACTGTCCCATCCAGATTCAGCCAGGCCAGGTCACAGGGAGCAGGCCATTTCCCCACAGCTCCCCGTGTTCCCCTTAGCAGGGCCTGGGGTCTGCATCTGTGGGTTGCCACAGGGGGCTGGGAGGGAAAGGAGTGAACTGACCATCACTGCGCCTGTGTGTGTGTGTGTGTGTGCACGCTGCACACTTGCCCCTGTGTGCTCGTGCCCCCACGACACCCCCTCACCTGCAGGAACCCCCCAGTGCAGCCTGCTATGAAGACGTGTGTGTAACTGGGTGGCTGGGCCCTCCGCTCCTGGTGGGAGGTTGCTGTCAGGACCAGCAGGGCATTGCTGTAGACCCCGAACAGGATGGAGTTGACCACAGCTATGCTCACGATGGGGAAGCTCATTCCCTTGAAGAAGCCCAGGAGCTGCAGAGAGAC